CCAAATACAGAATTAAGAATACAAGTCCATTTACAATGGCATTTAAAAAAATAAAAATTTAAAAGTGGAAGGCTTTATATACTGAAAACTAGAAAACATAATTGAAAGAAATTAAGTAGAAAGACATCCCATGTTCATGGATTGGAAGACTATTGTTAAGATGGCAGTATTTTCTAAATCTCTAGATTCAGTCCAATCCCTATCAAAATCTTAGCTGCCTTTTTACAGAAATTGTTGAACTGACCCTAAAACTAATATGGAAATGTAAGGAAACCAGAATACCAGTTTGGAAAGGAAAAGCAAAGTTGGAGGACTTCTGCTTTTGATTTCAAAACTGACTACAAAGCTACGGTAATCAAGACTGTTACTGCATAAGGATAGGTATATAAGTAGAATTGAGAGCCCAAAAATAGACCCATACATTGAGAGTTAATTGATGTTCAACAAGAGTGCTAAGACAATTGAATGGAAAGTAATAGTCTTTTCAACAAATGGTGCCAGGACAACTGGATAGTTACGTGCAAAATTACGAAATTAGACCCGCCATTACACCTATATATATAAGAAATAATTCAAAATGGATTACTGACCTAAATGTATGAACTAAAACTATACAACTTTTAGAAGAAAATGTAGGTGTAAATCATTATGATCTTGGATTAGGCAGGGGTTTGTTAGAAATGACAAAAGCCCAAATGACAAAAAAAGAAAAATTGTGCTTCATCAAAAGTAAAAATGTGTATTGCACGCGCCTGGGCGCCTCAGTCAGTTAGGCATCCAGCTCTTGATTTCAGCTTGGGTCTTGATCTCAGGGCTGTGGGATTGAGTCCCATGTAGGGCTCCGTGCTCAGTGAAGAGTCTGCTTGGGATTCTCTCTCTTCCTGTCCTTCTACCCCACTTGCACACACTCTCTCTCTAATAAATAAAATTAAAAAAAAAAACACGTGCTTCAAAAGATGCTATCAAGAAGGTAAAAAGACAATCCACAGAACAGGAGGAAGTATTTGCAAATTAGATACCTGATAAGAGATTTGTCCCTAAAATGTAGAAAAGACTTTCACCAATTAAAGGAAAAATAACTCACTTTAAAAATGGGCAAAGCATTTGCGTAAACATTTCTCCAAAGATCTATAAATGGCCAAAAAACATATGAAAAAGATGTTTAACGTTCTTAGTCTTTAGGGAAATCAAATCAAAATTCACACCAACTAGGATGACTAGAATCAAAAAGACAATTATGATTGGTGAAGATGTGGAGAAACTGGAACCCTCATACATTTCTGGTGGGAATGTAAAATAGAAAACAGTTTGGCAGTTCCTCAAATGTTAAACATAGAGGTGTACCATATCCCGAGAGAACTGAAAGCTTAAGTCCACACAAAATCTTGTACACGAGAGTTCATAGTAGCATTGCTCATAATAGCCCAAAAGTGAAAACCCAAACTTTCATTAGCTGATGAGTAAATCAACAAAATGTGGTATATGCACACAATAGAATATTATTAAGCCATAGAAAGGAATATAAAGTTCTGATACACACCACAACATGGATGAACCTTGAAAAGATTTTTGCTAAGTTAAACCAGACACAAAGGACACATAATTTATGATTCATTTATATGAAATGTCCAGAATAGGCAGATCCATAAAAAACAGAAACTAGATTAGCAGTTGGTTACCAGGATCAGGGGGAGGGGGTGGGGAGAGAGTGGCTGCTAAGAGGTATGAAGTTTATTTTGGTGATAATGAAAACCTTCTGAAATTAGATAGTAGTGATGGATGCATGATTCTGTGAATACCTTCAATGCCACAGAATTGTATACAATTGACCCTTGAACAACACGGGTTTGAACTGCACGTTTCCATTTATATATGGATTTTTTAAAGATAAGTACAGTACAGTGTCATAAATGTAGTTTCTCTAGTGATTTTCTTAACATTTTCTCTAGCTTGCTTTATTGTAAGAAAACAGTATTTGGATAGAATACATATAAACATACAAAACATGTTGACTTTTACTGGTAGGCTTTCGGTAAGGCTTCTAGTCAGCTGTAGGCTATTAGTAGTTTAGTTTTTTGGAAGTTAAAAGTTACATGCAGATTTTCAACTGTGTGGGAGGGTCAGCACCCCTAGCACCCAGCTATTCAAGGGTCAACTGTACTTCAAAAAGTTGAACTTTGATATGTGAGTTATATCTCAATAGAGCTGTTATTTAGTAAATTACTAATTTTTTAAAGAAACTCTATTTTCTATATGCCATGAATGACATATAAAAATAGAAAGGAAAGAATGCATGATAAAATTTAAGACAATTAAATTTTGAGGAAGAAGGGAAATTATTCTACAGTTAATATATATTAGAGTATTTGATTAAGAGTATGAACTTAACTACTGGAACAGACCAAAATAAATTTAAGTCTAGAAAGAGACCTAAATGCATGTATTAGGAAAGCAATATATAGTAAAGCTAATGCTTTTCCTCAGTGGGAAAAATACAGATTATTCATGAAATGATGACATTCAGCACCTAGCTGACTTTAACAGTTGGCATTTGCCGATGAAAATAGCAAAAAATAATCCTGGCAAGCTTAAGCAGAGACACATTTACAGGAAGAATATTTGGTAGCTCAGTCAATAGGAAATCAAGCCAGAAGCTGGGAACAGAGCCTCCCTTGTGCCACTGGCCTAGGATGCCACTGTGTTGTTGTCACAGGACTCTAGATCCCACCAGTGCCACCATGACTAAATTCTAATAGTCCCTGTGTATTTCTGTCACTATTAAGACTGAGATCCAGGCAGAGCCCAGAACACAGGCCTGCATCTTTACTGCTGGGGATGGGGAAAAGGATGTCTGCTCACCATCAGTGCTGTGCTTGGGAGGCAAGGCACTGTAGCATCAACCCAGACAGGAAGTTGCCCAAATGTTGGTGAGCCAAAAATGACAGATTCCCACTAACATTTGGAGTAACTAAAATTAGAGCCATCCTTTATGTCATGGACCAAAATAAATTCTACATGAATTCAGAATGTAAATGTGAATCGAGACCATAAAATACTTGAAGAAAATATATGTGAATATTTATCTAATCTTGGTTTGGGAAAGTTGCTTAGCCTGATATAAAAATCAGACACCCATTAAAAATGTCAGTAGAGACCATCAGTGACCCAGAAGGGAATCAATCTGTTAGATTTAAAAGAGAGAGAGAGAGAATGGTATATACGAGAACATTAACAGTGGTTCTCTTTAGGTGAACTAGAAATGGCTTTTCCTTTTTTCCTCCCTATTTCAAGTTTGCTTTTCTTTCCAAAAGCTGTTACTACTTTCTAAATTTGGGAAGTGAGTGAATTGGTTGGTTAGTTTGTAAGAATACATAGGTATCTGGATCTTTATACGTACATTTTATGCTAAACATTACAGAAGTAAGAATAACTCTTCAAAAAGTGGGTAACGAGACAGTTGTTTAGACAGCCCCATCTCTTGTAAAAATACTATTCAAATGGCTCTTGGAATTTGCTCCATGTGAGGGCACTTCAAAAGGAAGACCTGAATAATTGAATTATGTCTTTAAGAATGCCCCCCCCCCCCGATCATGATGTTTCTCTTATCTCCTCCAGTGTTTTTTGTCTTATTTTGTTTTTAAGAGAGCCCATCTGCTTGAGTAGGAATATACTGGTTTGTGCTCAGGGTATTGGTGTCTAAGGGGAAACCTCACAGATGCAAAGATTCTGGAGGTGATATTTACTGTGGTCTATAGTTCATTACTTTATACTCTTACCTACGAACCATGAGCTGCCTCACCATTTCCTGTTAAGGCAGCCCTTAGATCCCTGGCACCGTGTTTGATCTTGGATTCCTATCTCAGTAAAGGATGCTCAGTATCTATGGCCTAAGAGATGAGTTGGCTTCTTCCGATGTAAAAGTGAATCTCCCAAATGGAATAAAGAGCTTTTCACAGAAACCTTGATATCAGAGGATGAGGGGAGCCTTTCATGTCCCAGAAAGGCCATCATTGGCACATTATAGAAACAGACCAAGAGATCTGGAGAAGGAAAGAGAACACAGAAATGGCATCTTGTTCTCATTCTTGCTGCTCAATTGCTTTTCCTCCTTGTAAAAGAAAAATAATCATTCTGGCTTTGAATATCTTTTCTAAATGCCTGTAGCCTTAACTATTAAGAAGATATGAATCAGTAAACATGATCTCGCTGGGATTTTCTAGTGGAAATTGTCATGATGTAAGAGTTCTTCATAAAAAACATATATATAAAAGACTTACTAATCCTTTTTTCTAGAACCATTTCCTCGGGGTCTCATTGAACATTTCTGTTATTTTTATTCCTCAGTCATAAACAGCATGACTCTCAACTTCTGTAAGTTTCAGAGTCTCCATGTCTTCATCCTTCATGTTAATATAGGACCCCATTGCTCTAACCTGGAATTAAATTGGTATACAACTGTTTTTGGCGTTAGATGGTTTAGGTATCCAATTTCACCTAAGTCATTTTGCAAGGTGGATATAAAACAGCTTGGGCATATTTGTATTTTCATACGTATTTTTTTGAGCTACACATTTCATGAGAAGTTTTGCGGTTTTCTTGTGTTTAAACTTTGTTTTTCTCTTACATCTATATATTTTGATGATTTGGAGCAGGTAGCATCTAGATGGAAGGAAAAAATGTTTCTTTTTTTCTGATCAAAGCTAAGAGTTATTCTTACCCTGATTTCCTTGGTGTTAATGTATTTCTGTTCACTATTCATGGAATGTGGGGATGCTCTGGAGAACACAGCGTCAGTACCGCAGTGACTAGGAATGGGGAGAGCGGCCGGAGCTGCCCAGAGGCCTGGTCCCTTCCCCTCAGGCACCCAGCCTGAGTGAATGAGGGAGGTGTAGGCACTTTGAGAGGAGCACACAGCTGAGGGCTTCCTCCCTGCCTCACAGTCCTCAGTCACACCTGGCTACAGTCAGACTTAACTCAGCATTTTTCTCCTCTCTTTCCAGGAGCTGCCTATTGCCAGTTCATGGATATGCTCTTTCCAGGCTGCATTAGTTTGAAGAAAGTAAAATTTCAAGCAAAGTTGGAGCATGAGTATATTCACAATTTTAAACTTCTGCAAGCATCATTTAAGCGAATGAATGTTGATAAGGTAGGAAACTGACTTACACATCCGTAAAATGCAGGGCCTTTCCTTAAAATTGTTTTTGTGCCAAAATGCAAAAAATCCAAAGACGTATCAATGGTATATATCTTGATATTGTCAAAGTAGTTTGGGGTCTGTGCCTAGCATAAAGTATCAACCCTCACTTCCATATTTGTAGGAGGCTTTCATTTAAGGAATCTCTCAACTGACAGCTAAAGGACTATCGCTAAAGTCCACTCAGTCTCTGCACACTTCCTATTATGCAAATACATATATAATCCATAGTCATTATCTAGGACATATTTCTTAGAGGGAATAGCTTTGGGAAGAAAGGAATTTTGAATAAGGGGAAAGAGAAAAAAACGGGAAAAACCGAAAACTTTTCTTGGCATCAATAGTAGCAGTAACTAGGCCATGGAAATGAAAAACGTAAATACTGTTACAAGAGACAGGTTAAAGGAAAAGAGAAAAGTTTGCTAAACTGTACATATTTTTAAAGTAATATCTTCCTAAATCAAAGCATTCTTACCAAATATTAACATCTTCTTGTTTTCTCAGAATTTTTATTTCAAGAAACCTACCTCTAACAGCTCAACATTTTAGAGTCTTTTCAACTTTGTCCTTTGCTGTGGTTAATTTCCAATTAGCTCCTTCCATATGCATTGGAAACCAGAGCTACATAGGTTCTCCTTACTAATTAACAGTATTATTTCTCTATACATTTTTGTATCCTTTCTCTATACATGCTTCTAGATCAAAAAGTAAAACACACCCACTCATAGGTTTATTTCTCTATACATGCTTCTAGATCAAAAAGAAAAACACTCATAAGTAGCTATGTAACAAATTAGGGAGCTCTATATTTCTGTGGAAGCATATACAGAGAGAGTGGATGAGCCATTCTTAAGAATGTTGAATATAAAATTCTGGTGCAGGAAGATTGGCCTTCATCACCATTGTTGGCCTCTCTGCTTAATATGCTCTGATTTCACCCAAGTGTTCTTGGAGAGGCAATGGTCCCTGTGCATGCTTGGCAGAGCGTAACACAGGTGGGAAGTGTCTGTGTGCAGATTTGCTTGCCACCCCAGATTTTGAACTTATGCCCCAGAACTTCCATTTTGATAGGGAGTGTGAAATTAAGTCAACAGAAGTAAGTGCCTACTTGGAACAGTTAAAGTAGTACCATCATCTAAAACTGGTTCTAAATGTTAACATTTGGCAGAAAACAAAATCTAGTACCATGTTAATTAAAGGGCCTTATTCCCTAAGAAGGCACTTAAAAATCAGTATCTGCATTAACAAAAGTTATAAATCAGAAAACATGAAAATATTTGGCACAATAAAAAGTCAACTATTAAGTGCATGTGTGGAAGGAATTCTTCGGTGTGGGCAGACTTCACTGAGTCTGGGAGGAGAGCGAGATCCGCATCCAAGTCTCCCTGACTGGAAGAGTCTTCACAAAAAATGTGGTCCCCTCCCAAAGTTTGTTTCTCTTTATTTTGCTCCATACTTGAGTTCTTTTCAGTTTTAGCTTCATCAAAAACATTTTTGAAAAATCCACTGCTAATGATTTTGTTTAATGGCTGGCCTAAAATGCTTCAGTTGTTTTTTCGTTCAAGTGGTTGTTGATACTTAAGGTCTTTCTCTGTTTTTAAGTGGTCTTGATGATCCATTTTAGGATATCAGTGGTATCCAGCTCCTGAGGTGGCAAAGCCTTGCTGAAAATTTAATTTATATGGCTTCCGTTCATGTTATTACACAGTGAAGCTGAGTGCTTTGAATTTGTGTCTGAATTGTGTACCAGTGATCAGATCACTCCCCAGCTTTGTAGCTCTCATGGCTTACATTCAGCTAGCATTCCCACTCAAAAATGAGGAAGCCAGAACCTGGTAATGGCACAACTTGCATAACTAAGTCCTTTTTTTTTTTTTTCCATTTTCCTCTAAAAATAACTGCCCACTGAAATAAAGGTAATCAGTCACCCCACATTTCTTCCTGTCATGATTCTGAAAGTTCCTCTAAAGGGAACATCTATTGGCTGTCTAGGTTGCCATAGAAAGAGTTGCTCCATGAAAAGCCGAGCTCTCTCTCAGAAGTTGAGGTGAATATAGTGCAGAATGCCTTCAGGGACTCCCCTAAGCAGCCCCCATTTCTGTCCCTCTCCTCTCCCATGGCACGTTAGTGGTGCTCCTGTGTAGCTGATCTCATGACCCTGAGATCAGGACCGGAGTCAAAATCAAGAGTCGGCCGCCTAACTGACTGAGCCCCCCACCCCACCCCCCGGGCACCCTGCAGGCCGTTGTTCTTAATGCTTGTCTCTCTCTAGTGTGTAAATACAAAACAACAACAACAAACAGGAAAGTTTCTTTTGCTTCATACAAACCATTAGATAAGTGTACGTTTGCATCGATCTGAGTCTCATTCACACTGTCTGATAGCTAAATCCTTACAGGAGTTCAGTCCACCACCACTGGAGCAAGGTTAGAAAGAAAGAGGGAAAATCCATCAATCTTGAAAGAGCACCACATCCCAGGCCCATTTTTGCAAGGAGATGCTTGAGTAGTTAAATCCATTATGAAGAGGATCAGCCCCTCTTGACAGCTAAGGGTATTTCTTGTTTCATCTCATTTGTTCAGAAGTATGAAATAATTCAGAAGAACCACCTACAGCATTTTAGTTTAACTTTTCTTTAATATGATGGGGGGAAAAAGGTGACTTTTAAAACATAGCTGGCCAAGAAGCTGTGGGGCGACCAGTAGTCCGTAATCGTGGACGCATAGGAAATAGTTACAGGGAACCCTTTGGTTGTGTTAAGTACACACAGGGTCATGACTCATGGTGATTTTATATTGCAGGTGATCCCAGTGGAGAAGCTGGTGAAAGGGCGTTTCCAGGACAACCTGGATTTCATTCAGTGGTTTAAGAAATTCTATGATGCTAACTACGATGGGAAGGAGTATGACCCTGTGGAAGCACGGCAAGGGCAAGATGCAATTCCTCCCCCCGACCCTGGCGAACAGATCTTCAACCTGCCGAAAAAGTCTCACCACGCAAACTCCCCCACCGCAGGTATCAGAACAGTGAAAGCCGACAGTTGCTTTTCGTCGGGGCAATGGCTCCGGTTGATCTGTGCTCTCCTGTGTTGGGTTGATTCTTCCCAACAGCCAGTTTCTCTGTGCCTCTGGATGATTTTTATTGTGTCTATTTGATCATCTTATCTTCCCAGCGTGCCTTATCTGTAAATAAGCCTAATGATCATGATTTAAACTACTAAAAAGGCAGAGTTACTCACTTTTTATCATTCAAGCTGTGTGTTAAGATCATACTCCAGGGATCAATTTCATTTTCTTGGTATGTTTTTCTGAAAAATACTAAGTCTGTTTAGATTTCAACTGAAATATTTTTACTGCTTAATTGCTGGCGGTACAAATCAGGGTATGAGCCAATTTATGCTTTTAAATATGAATAATCTATAATCTTTCAAAAGAAAGTTAGGAAATATGCATCCTATCTCCTATATGGTCAGTGCCAATTTTTATGTGATAATATTCAGCAAGACCTCATTTTATCCAGCTTGGTCCAAAAGTGAAGTCATTGGGGATGAATACCTAGGACTTCGAATTCTTTTAAACTGTTATGGATCAAACCTTTCAAAGATATAAACATCCTTCCATAAAAAAATAGACTTTATCAAGCAAGAGGGTGTTCTTGTACAATTGTGGTCATTATTACACAAGTTGGGGTACTGGACAGTTGAATGATGAAATGCTCAGAAACTCTTGTTCCATCGTAAAAACCAGTGCTCATGCTTGTTAAATCAGTCACATTAATTTGGTAAATAATACAAATTTCTTATTTATGCCCCACCTCCAATGAGAATGGATAAGAGGTGGCTAGAAGAATACTAATACTGAACAACACAGGCATGTTGTAGAGGCTAGAGGGGTCCATCTGTGGGGCTTCCAGATATCCATGTCATTGAGGCTGGAAGTGAGCCCTCAGTGGGAAGGGGAGAGACTGGCTTGAAGAACTCTAACACTGAGTGTTTGGGCAGAAAAGGAAGGGTTTGCACAAGAGCAGGGAAGATGCCAGAAAGATGGAAGGAAATGAGGGAACGACATGTCAGGGAATCAGAAGGTAGGGAACGGAATGGCCAACTGAGACATTTCTCAGTCTGTGGAGGAGTCAAGTAAAACGAGGACTGGAAGAGCCCATTGGATTTCTCAACTTTAGGGTCATTCAGTGGAATGATGGGACCCAGAGTGGGTGGCGGAATGGGAGGAAGGAGATGAAGATAGCATAAAAATCCAGCTTTGAAGCCATGGATTGAATGAGTTTGTATAAAATAAACTAAGCTAAGCACAGGTCTCTGGAAATACGAACATTTAAGGAGCAAGAGGGAAAAGAGGAAGCTGAGAAAAAAGACATGAACATCGGGGGGAAAAACTCCAAAAACTCAGCATCAGAGAATGAACAGTAGGAAATCTCTAGAAAGAGGGATCACCAGCAGTGCCGAATATTAATTGTGGAGAGATCAAATAGAATGAAGCCCAAAAAGAGGCCAAAGATACCGGGTTCCCAGGAGGTGAGGAATAATTCTTGAGAGAACTGGTCTGTTAAGATGCTGAGTGCATAAACCTAGATTTCAGAGACTGGACGAGGGCATGACCTCACAAGTGGTAAAGTCGTGCAGTAAGAGCACATTCCACCTTCACCAAACTCATTAGGGAAAAAGTTGAGGAAAAACGTTGAGTTGGGGGGGAAAGCTGACAGCCTCAAGAAGTGAGATTGGAAGGAGATGGTGTTGTCCTTGATCTGTTTTCACCTGCTTTTAGGACAAGGCACAGTGGGCAAGTTTGTCAGATGAGAGAAAGGTCCGTGGAGAAGAAATAGTTGATGGTTGGAAAAAGGAGGGGAAATTTGTGGAGCAGGGCCCTTAAGCTGGAGGGAGAAAATGAGGTCAAGGGTGTTGATACAAACTTCGAGAGGAAGGGGAATTTTATTTTTCTTTTTATTTTTATTCTTATTTTAACAAATGCTAGAGAGAGGTTGGGTAGAAAGCCACAAGGAGTTTTGGGGAACAGAAATCTACAGCAGTTCAAATTGCCCTTCAAGTTTGGTCAGAAACGTCGGTCAGTGCAGTAGATGGGGGTCCAGAAGGGGAGTGGTGTGTTTTGTCCAGCGTGCGGGCCTTGGTGAGCAGACGGAGGAGGGGGGGACATGGGCGGGAGGGGAGACTCAGGGCACCTGGCATTTCTCATCTTAGGGTCTTTTTCTTTTTTTTTTAATTTTTTTATTGTTATGTTAATCACCATACATTACATCATTAGTTCCTGATGTAGTGTTCCATGATTCATTGTTTGTGCATAACACCCAGTGCTCCACGCAGAATGTGCCCTCTTTAATACCCATCACCAGGCTAACCCATCCCCCCACCCCCCTCCCCTCTAGAACCCTCAGTTTGTTTTTCAGAGTCCATCGTCTCTCATGGTTCCTCTCCCCCTCCGACTTACTCCCCTTCATCCTTCCCCTCCTGCTATCTTCTTTTTTCTTAGGGTCTTTTTCTAGAGCTCTTAATGATGTACAGATTCATCTTAAAACTCAGCTGCCACTTTTTTCCCCCCCCAAGTTTGTTTTAGTAGTGAAATCGCCCAGGCCTCAGAAGTTTGTTTTCCTTCCACAATCACAGCGTGTCCTTGGACCGGCACCACCGCTCCCGCTCCCGCTCCCCCAAGACCACCGCTCGGGGCGCTGCCTTGGCCTTGCTTTCTAGCAGTTCCCCCATTGGTCTGTCACGGACGTCACCGAGAAACACGTGCTATTTTGAGAGAATGTCCATGAACCTGGAACAGAAATATTGCCTCCAGAGCTTAACCTCTCAGGTGACACAGCTCAGGAAATACATTGAAGTCAACAAGTAACAAATAGGGTTTTTCATGTTCCAAAAGGTAGTAGTTCTTAAGGCTCGTGTTCCTAATACCTTGACCATGTGCACCACATTGGTCTTAATCAGGGAGAAAGGATTATTTTCAAAAGTCAGGCCAGTCATACCCTTTTTAATGAAATAGGTTCTGTCTCTTGGACATTGTGGGATGGAAAAACTATACTGTGGAAAAAATTGTAGCAGGATATACATCACGTATAGAACACTGTTTTAAAAGTTATAGGTTTGAAAGGCTCCTATAAATACAGTAAGACCTCATTTTTCTTGAGGTCATGTATCCGGCTCTTGGGAATACAGCCAAGAAAATGTAAACCAAAATGTCTTCCAAGAGTCAGAATAGGTGTTGTAAAATCTGTAATATAAAATGTATAACAAACATGGGGATGTGGTGTCTCAGCACATAACTTATTAGGGCAAGGAGTACACTGAAAGCAATAGAAAGTATAAGCATCAGTCAGGGAAGAGCCAGAAAACTTCAGAAAGCTTGCTAAACAGCCCAGCAGCCTGAATGCTTTATCATAGAATCAGATAGCTCCATGCCTCTCCATATCCTTCAGGATCAGTGGGACACCAGCATGTGTACTAACTGATAACACTCAGAGTTCCCTTCTAATTCTTAAGATTCTGTTTATAATCATCTCCCCCATGAACGACTTACAGTCTCTAAAGTGAAACCCCATTCAGGGCCATCTTCTTTATATACACGTCCGATTTTGTCCACCCAAGATGGAAGGCAACATGCTTGATTCTGAGGTGTGAGGGTCAGCTCTCTGGGAATTCTCAGATCTAGATCACAGTTAACGGACAGTGATGCCGTGTCAGTAACATTCAGTAATTTCTGTCCCGCCTCTAAGCCTTGTCATTTCTCAACCATCTGCATTAGTGGAAATAAACATTGGCTGGTATAATCGAAAGCAGGAGATCATCTTTATTTTTTCGTTTCACTTTGGGATACTTGATGGATTTTGCAGTGGATCTTTCTCCGCAAATATTTCCTTAGGCTAATATTAAAAGCAACTTGCATGTCTTGACTATAATACATTAAGAGCAGTAAGGAGAAGCTCCAAAGCATCTTGTGGTAAAAGGCCCATGTTAGAGTGGAAATATGATCATGGAATGGATCCTCCACATGTTGATAATTAAGTACGGTCTAAATTGACAAAAAGAAAAGTTTTTTCATCATACAGACTACTTCTGTAGCCATGCTGCATGGGTTGTTTGCTTTTGTATGAAATAGATGCACTCCACACGGTGCATTCTGCTGTTGTGAGAACATGCTAGGTTTTTCTGCCATTTCAGTAGAGACACAAAATACCCTTCTGCAGCTTCAGAGAAGCTGTAGGGCCCATTGGTATCTGTGTGTAGTTGGGTGACTTACCTGCACTGCAATAAGCTTTGGCAAAAGCAGAGGCTACCACATGAGGGTGAATGACTGCCTGACAAGTTGTTCTATCTACATTTTGAAGAATCGCATGAATTGCTTTTGATCTACCAACGAGGAGCCTGTGTTAAAATACACATTTTCATGATAGAGCTCTGTTAAGTGCATATATCATTGTGAGTCATGATGTTTATAAGTTTATTGCAGTGAGCCTTATCTGCAACTCAAGATAGCTGTGGGGGGGGGTGCCGAATTCAGTTGTTAAGTGTGAGCACTTACTAAACTTAAAAGGAAATTTGAAGTTGCGGTTCCTATAGCAACCACAGCTTAGACACATTGCAAATTCACATATATTAATATATTTAAATCAAATTCTCATATACAAATACAGTGTGATGCATTTAGAGTTGCTATGGAAATTGAGTCTGTGCTTTCTCTTTTCCTCAGGGACTTGAGTGTTCCAGCCTTAAAATGAGATCAATAGAAATTATTAGATGGTTTCAGAAAGGAAGCAGCCTAAGAACTATAATAGAATAAAGGATTTGAACAATCATACTTAAATCCCTCAATGTAGACATAAATAAATCCTAACGGTATTTTTCCAAAACTATGAATATGTAAATACTTTCAATTGTCTTTAATTTGGGTTCTCTAAGGCTGTTCATAGGTTTATTTGTTGACTACCTGTGATCTAAGTAAACATTGCCTGTCACCTTCTTTGGGGAAAGAAGAGTTACTTTTACT